TTCAAACAAAATAGATTTATATATTCTTTATTTTAAATTATTTTTTCAGATTTTTTAATTTGTTACACATCATGTCATTTTGATCAGAAATCAAAGCATCTCATCGGATGATCCATATTGATTCCACAAAATTCTATAATATTTTTTGAGCTTTTAAGTATCTTATTGACATAAGAATTGGGTGATCTTAAGCTCGTTAGATTCTTCTAATTAAGATACACATTTCGATAAATGGTTTGCTAAAAACATAGTTCAAATTGTCTAGCTAATTCTGAAAGCTTTTAATGCAAATTCTTCCTTCAAGATTCATATTTAATCAAAATATTTTTCATATGTCAAAAAAAATTAATAGTTCTAAAATTTATTCCAATAAAATTTATTTAGAGATAAGAAAAATATTTGATTAATCAATTATTTTGTATCATTTTTAAAATAAATTTAATAGTTCTAAAATTTATTCTAATAAAATTTGAGCCTGATCACTCTCTCTCTCTGTAAAATCCTTAAGAAAAGCTGATTTTTTTTGTGCTGTTAGTCCCGTACGATCTGACTTTAGTACTGGACGAACTGAAGAAATTTGTGAAGAAATCTGCCATTTTCGTCTGTACGAACCTGGAGCAGTCGGGACGATCCGTCTGTACGAAATCTGTCCAGAGAGCAAGTCGCCCGGGACGAATTTGAATTTCGTCTGTACGAAATTTGTCTAGATAACCCATCGTACCAGGACGAAATTTGGATCGTCCAGGACGATCAGTGTTAATAAATATCGGATTTGAGATATTTTGGATTCATTTTGGAGAGAGAGAAAAGGCAAGAGAGAGAAAGAGAAGGAAGAGAAGAAGGAAGCTTGGTTTTGGAGCCCGTGGAGCGCTTTTCGTCCGACGACGCTGTTAGAAGATTTGTTTGTCTCGCTGTAAGGACTCCGAACCCTATTTCTGTTTTCGAAGATTTTGTATTTTGATCGAGTTGTGCACTGTTTTGTGTTTTTGTAGTCGAACTTTTGACCTGATTTTGTATTGACACGACTTTCACCGCACAACTTTTAGTATGTTATAGATATGAATATTGTACACGATTTGACTATTTTCTACAATGATTTTATCGGTCGGAATTGATTCTACGCGATTTTAATTGAATAGAAAAATATCAGGACGTGATTTGATTTGGATTCTATAGAATAATAGTCTTATATTGATGTCGTGAATGTTCTACTGTAATAAAAGCAAGGGAGGTCTTGGTATTCCATCTATTTTAGCTATGCAATTTGCATATAATTGCTCTGTTATTTTCAGGATGTATAATTGCGCATCGTTTCTTTCTAATTGGCTTCTTTATCAATATAAATCCCCTTGGAGACCCACACCGAATCAGGCATCCAAAATCTGGAGATCAATATGCAAAACTGCTGCAGATGTGAAACATTGTTTTAATTTCAAAGTGACCAAGAATTCTCCTATATCCTTTAATTGGGATCATTGGTATCAAAATGTTACTATTTCTGAGTTTCTTGGGGATAATGTCATTGAGCACTGTCATGAACTCCTTTTAAAGGATGTTATTTCTTGTGATAATTGGGCTTTACCCAACTCTATTCCTTTGAATCTGAGAAACATGATAGCTAAAAACATTAAAATTGAGGCTTCGGGCCCTTGCCTTCTATGGAAAAATCAGAGAATTTACAATTATAAACAATTCCTAGATGAATTCTACTCGGACACTGATTCCTGCTCTTGGTATAAAATGGTATGGGCAAAAAGGCATATTCTGAAGCATTCTATTTTTGTATGGTTGGCTATTGTTGGGGGCTTAAAAACTGCTGATGCACTTCTTGTAAGAAACATTTCGATGCCTGGTACTTACAGTTTGTGTCACTCTCATAATGAATCTGTATCACACTTGTTCTTTGAGTGCTCTTACACTTTCAATATTCTCACTGCATTAATTCCATGAATGAATAGCTTTCTTCTTAGGCCCTCCATCTTGCAGGTTCTTGATTGGGTTAAAGTACATTACCATGGGAATGGGAAGGTAAAAAACTTTTATTTTGTGCTTATATGCTGTGCTATATATCATATCTGGAAAGAAAGAAATGGGAGGAGGTTTGGTAACACTGTAAATTGTTATACTACTCTGCTATATAACATAAAGAGAAACATCTGTGAGAAAGCTTTAAAATGGGAGAACTCTTGGGAGCTTGTGGAACTTCTGTAATTTGCCAGGTTTCTTTTTTTAAATCTGGAAGGCTTTTCTACCTATTACCAAGACGTTGCAACGGAATACGTTTGAATGGAGAGCCTACCTGGACGATGATGACACTCCCGATTATGGTATTCCCTTGGAGGGCCACGGTGGCAACCAGGGAATAAGCGTTTCCTCTCCTTTCTATATTATATATGAGTCCAGGAACTACTTAGGCTGAGAGTTTTTCCTGTGGGGCACATATGATATATTCTGGCATTTTGACTCAGCAGCTCATTCAGATCTATTTACTTTGTTGTTATTGGTCTGCTGTGCGGCCTTTTTATGTAACTGAGGTCTTTTTTTTTTATTTTTGTTCGTTTTTTCTGCAGCTAACGCTGATATCTGTTATAGATTTTGTTTTGCTTCTGCAGCATTTATTGCTGATAGTTTTTGTTAACTACTGCTGGCAGGTTGTGGTAGTAGTTAATTTTATCTTTGTATTCTTTCTGTTTGGAATGAAATGGGCTTAGGCCCCAATTTTTCCCAAAAAAAAATATTTATACATCTTTTTTCAAGATAAACAAAGATTATTTCTTGTCCGAATTTATAATAGTTGAATAATGAACTCTCTTTCTTATTTATTATGTATTTAATGACATTTATCCTTAAACTTAATTATATGATTTTTTTATTGACACGTTATCAAGAATCGTCTCATTCAAATATGAATCTCAATGTATATTTGAATTACAATATTTCTTAAATTAAATTTATGATCACCTCAATTTTTGTTTCAACAACTTTATATTAGACTAGGCATCTCGAGGAGACGAATCTAACAGTACCAAAAGTAGTGCAGTCTGAATTTGAATGAGTGTTGATATATCATCACAAATTTATCTTGTTTGGGCATGAATCTCGAGAAAAAATTGAATTGAAAGCTATTAAAATTAAATATGGGACTATTAAAACTCCGATTTCAACAAACTTATAGTTGAACTTAACGTCTTAGAAATACAAACCCAGTGAAATCAAAATCAATCAAATCTGAGCCCAAGTTAAGGGTCCAAAGCATATTTAGAGAGTTCAAAACATAATTTGGATTACTAAACAAATTTCAAATGTGACACGCTTACAGTCAAATCAAGCTGATCAACGAGATAAATCCAACGAGCCCAAGATAGTCAAATTATGATATCATTAAGACGTTCAAATGATCGATAAATGGTCCACGATCAAGGAGATCAATATGGGCCATCCGTTCAAACCACTCCCATCTTGACCTTAATCCTACCTATATTTACAAAATTACAAGTCATGCCACTCCAAAAAAACTATAAATTGCCCTCATTATTCTCATGAGAAAAAAAAAAAGAGGAGGAGAGGAGGAAGAGAAGAAGAGAAGGAGAAAACATGGAGAGCTCTCTTGCTGTCGACCACCGCTGGATCTCTTCCGGACCACTGTCGGACTTCCACTTGTTCGTCAACCATCGCCGAAATTATTTCGCTTGTTTGTTGACCACCACTGGAGTTCTCCCGACCATCATTGACCTCCGCTCGTTCATTGATTACCACTGGACTTCTGCCTATTTATCGACCATTACGGAGTTCTTCTTGACTGCTGCTGAACTTCCATTCGTCTACCATCACTAGACTTATGTTCGATTCTCCAATCTATTGTAATTCTACCATCTCCAAATAAAGTAGAGAATCAAGCTTTGTAATTTATTTAAGCTTAGTGGAATTTTCTTATCTGGGATATGCCTCGTGCTTTTTCCTTTCCATGTTTTCCACGAAAAAATTTTTGAGTGTCCTCTTTCAACTATCAGTTGATGTGTCATATATCAGTACATTAAATCTTACAAGCTTACATTCATATCGAGCATATTAACAAGATAAATCCAATGATCCTAAGATCTCATATTTTCAACATTATTAAGAATCAAATGCAAAAGGAATGATCTATGATTTAGAGAATCGATATGTGGCTCTGGTGGAGTTTTATGGATTTTTTCTATATTTATGGGGTATGAAACTCTAAAAATTTTATTATCCAAGCTTTTTGCGATAGAGTCAACCTCTTAAAGAAAAATCTAATGAGATAGGGCTCTCCCAACTTACCCACATAATATATTATATATATTGTATATGTACTATATTTTATCAACATTTTTCTTTGAAGGAGGGCCATTTATAACATATGACAAAATATCAGTGCAATCATTTCAATTAGGCTAAGTCCCATGATTTTTTTTTCTTTTGTGAGGTTTTCACGTAAAAATTAGCCTTTCATATAGAGCTAATTAATACATTAAAGAGTCACTTAAATCAATCTTAAGGTGTTAGGTATAATATTTAATCATTGAATAAATTTGAAATTTAATTTGTAATTATTATAAATATTTGTATTTATTTGTTATATTACTTAAATTTTTATATCTTATTCTTATTAATATATCATTATTATATTTAATTGGTATTTACATGAAAAATATTTTAATAATTTATTTAATAATTTATATTTATTTATTTATAAATCTTCCTAATTATATTTCTTATATATTTTTTGAAAAATTATTAATAAAATTCATTATAAAAATATGATGAAAAATTATTAGAAATATCTCTAATCTTAAAGGAAAAATAATAATTTAGATTTCTATTTTAATAAAAATTTACAAAAAATATCTGCACACGAATTCTTTCACAATTTTATTTCCTTAAAATATTAAATGACAGTAATAAATTAATAATTTTGTTGATGGTCTTAAATAAATTACCACCGTAAACCTACTCATCAAAATTACCGATCCTGCCCTTCTCCACCGAAGCCCTTTCCCTTTCTCTCTCCCTCAAACCTTCGCGACTTCCTTCCTTCTGCTTCCCCATCTCAGCCCTTCTTTCTCTCTCCTTATAATCTCTGCTACGTCATGTGGTTGCTACCCAGATTGTCGCACTTCGCCGCTGTGCCGATTTCCCTGCGATTTTTGTTCTTCTCCTCGACCGCACCCCGATCTCCCTCCTAATCCCTGCCCGCCTCCGCCGTACAACGTGATGTCGGCGGTGGTTTCACCGGCGACTGCGCCGCCGGACAGATCCTCGTCGGAGGATCAATTCCAGCCAAGCAACTCGGCCCGAAAGTCACGCCCCGCACGGGCGTGCACCGCCCGTACGTCAGCTCGACTGCAGCCCCCCTTGCCGGTGCTGGAACGCCGCTCCATCACCGGAGGTGTCATCACCCGTCGGGAGAAAGAGGAGCAGCAGCCGGCTAGCAGGATCATAACCTCGCTAACGCAGCCGCCAACGCCGGCGCAGCTTCCGCGGTGGAGTCTCCGCTCCATGTGGGAGCTGGCCTCCGTGCTCAACTTTTTGAACGTGAGAGCCGACTTACCAGTGATATTACTGTTTTGATTAGGTTTTCTTTGCTTTATTGGTGTTTTGCACTTTTCTGTTGTAGGTATTCAGACCGCTGCTGAATATATCGGTTGAGTTCTCAGCAGAGGAGCTTGAGACGGCGCTGCTGGTGCCGAATAGTACATTGGATGACATTCACATTCCGCTGCTAAAGGTTAGCGTCTTCCGCCTTGGATGGGAACTGTGGATCTTGTTGGCTACATTTATGCTTTAGCTTGATAGAGCGTACGAAGGTTTATTTGCTTATGCATTGCTGTTTAGGTTGCTAATATTAAATGAAATTGATAAATTATGATTTTAAAGGCATCTTCTTTTTGTGATTACTGAGGACTTATCTTGGTTTTAAACTGCGTTGGGATTGTAAACCTTGAGTTTTTGAGATGTCTCCATTCTCCACGGCATGCATTGCATTGAGCTTTATGCTATTCAGTGTGTATAGGACATCCAGAGTAGCATTATTTGATGATGCTATTTGTATGGACAGAGTAGGCTTGATATTGGCATTGGCCTTAAAATTGAATTTTGAATTCCGTCTCTTTGTAGTTTATCCTCCCATCTCTATTAGAACATAAGAGCAAAAAATCAATCTTCTATTGCATTTATCATTCAAGAGTTGTGCTTCTGTTGTAAGTTAGTGGTCACTAAAAACTGCAAAAATGGCAATCGCTTATGAAGTCAACGAAGATTTCTCCTTCGAGCATTATGTACGCAGCAATTTCTCATTCTTGGATGCTATCAATCGCAACACGAGCTTTGCCATTTATGGCTGTCTCCTGCAAAATAAGCCATTACCGGGGACACTAATATTGTAAATAAAATCAACCTACCTTTTTAAAGTGTACTGTCTACTGTTATTTTTGGTGCACATCGTGGTTTAGCATGCTAAAGTTGTGATAGCTAGGCCCTTGGAAGTCAAAAACCATGGTGTCTTTGAAATGTTGTATTCTCATTTGTTTCAAGATGCTGGCTAGATGCATGCATTGATGACTTTGCAGGCTATAACATGATTGATATTGATCTAATAGCAGTACATGCTGTTTTACATCTAAAATTTTTTTTCTCCCACTTCAATTGCAGAATTGTTACCATATCATAGGTATATTTTACATTGTTATCAGTTTTAATTATTGATGAAGTTAAGGATTTGTTTATCATATTCCAATGGTTTTATCTTCCCACTTTGTGATGGATTATCTCTTTTAGCTGTTTGCTCATACCTTTTTTAAAATTGGTTTCTTACTCATTGTTGTAAATGTTATCAGGCTATACCACCTGTTATCCGCATGGCTTTAGGTCGGGCAACTTGGGTTACAGTTCTATGCAGGAAGATAAAAGATTGGTGGCATTGGGTATGCTACCCCAAGCTAATGGCTTAATTTCTTTCACTTCGAAAAAGTGATGATTTTTATGATTAGCAATTGCTATAAATTGCTAGCTAAGTTCTAATTGTTGTTGTAGGTAGCAGATGGGGAGATACCGATAGTTGCATCACATGGGTACTTTTTGCTAACTCATGGACCTTTTTTGAATGGTAAATACAATTCAGGCTGATCTATGAGTTATGAACATGTTTAGGTCCGAGGTTGAGATGTACAAGAATCTTGAACCACCAATCCGTGTGTTGATTTTAAAAGCATTATGCGATATTCGTGTGGAGGTAGTTGTTCCTTGTTATTTTTCTCTTGTTCGAACTATCTGAATTGCAATTTGCTAAACATAAAAGATGACTTCTTTATTTTAGTGTTTTGTGATTGTAATAAGGCCACATGTGATCATTTCCTCATTTAAGCAGAAAACTTCATGCTTTTCATACTGTTTGAATTGTAATTTTATACTACCTTTTTGTACGCCACTTGAAAATGTCCACTGTTCTGCACACAGTGCCAGTAAAGATTGTTTTATATTCACAAGTATTATGCTAGTTGTGAAGTATCATTGTTTTTCAATATTTTATTTATGATCACATGCATGCTCTTCTTCAATCAGTTTTCTTGTTTAACATTGATTGAAAAAGGCTAAACATAATGATAGAATTGGAAGCATGTCTGTAATATGAAAAGATTGCTTTACCCTTGATAATAACAAATGATAAATGCGGGCATTGAAATAAACACGATGAATTAAATTTTAATGACTAAACTAATATAAGCAAAAACTCAAGGTCGATGGTTGGAAATAGACATCTTGCACTTACATACCCACGGTCAACAAAATCCTCTTTTTCATGTCTTTTGTGCATAGGCTTTCAAACCTGAAATATTACTAAGCTTAGAAGAATTGTACAAGACAAATTCCCCTAAATTTTCAACCGATAATGTCCTTCGCTGAGATAAAGTTTGGACTCCTTGTTTAAGGTCATATTATTGTTTTTTGATAGAAATATGATGAAACGTAACTTAGAAAACCCGCATTGTTTAGCTAATTTGATTATTATATATGTACACTAGCTTTCCTCAAATTTATACCCACATCCAGCATGAGTAACATTGAATAATATAATCAAAAAGATTGCCAGCAATGCAAAGTGGCAACATGATTCTATATTCAATCCTAGAACTTTTTCATAAAATTTTAGAAGATATGATACATCTTTGTTATGCCATTAGTTCAGGGTATTTTTATTAAATTGCATGAATTATTTTGAATGATTTCTCTGAATATGTTTTTGGATGTTCTTGAGGTTGAATTTTGAACTGATAGTTGTTTGAATTTGCTCTCCAGCAAGAAGACATTAGAAATTATATTGATGATTCTTTGAAACATGGTGCACATCTTTCAATGTTTCGTAAAGATCGTATTGGTGGTGATTCTCATGGAGTTTCATACTGGTAAAATACTTCTTTTATGATGTGCCGAAATCTCAAATCTTTCCATGATTTGTTTGCGAGATTCAATTTCAATGTTCATTACTAAGATTCTTCTATTTTTTCTATTTTCTCTTTAGGTATGAGGATGATGAAATAATAGGTCATCGATTATATCGAGAAATAAGAAAAGTTGAAGCCAAGAAGGGCAAGGGAAAAGCTGTTCCTGCACCTCCTAATACTTCCTACCAATGGGAAATGGTTGCATCTAATTTGGATGAATTTCAAGAAGTTTCAGTGAGTTTAGCTTTTAGTATTATAGCAAACATCGTTTGTTATATTTTTCTTGCCGCTATTCCATTGTTACAAATCTGTAATATGTAATAATTAAGTACCTTATTGGATTTTTTTTATAATGTGTGCTTTATAATTGCTTACACGCGCACTAACTTTTACCATACAATATGCTTTTTTCCTTTTGCCCATGTTCCCGTGTATGCGGTGATTAATGATTGAATGACACTGTTTGCAATGAATATGTATATTAAGTATTTAGCATTTCACCTTCTTTTCCTTATTTATTGGATATTTGCATAGATTTAGGTGAATCTTGCCAAGGATCATTTTTGTGCAAGTATTGATTTCTACATATGATTTAATAGGAGCTTAGTTTTTATTTTATTTTTTCTTGTTAGTGTCTAATTTTACATAGTTGTTGCACAATGTTTAAATATGTATTTTACTTTCTCTGGCATGCCACATACTCAAATTTTACTCTTCTATTTATGAGTTAGAACCTTGCGGGGAGGATTTTCTCTTCACAAATATTGGGGATTTGATATGTATATATATATATTATTTCAATCTTAAATGGTACTTTGAATATGGAATCCATGATTTTAGAAGATAAGATGCGGTTCAGGTTCCACCGGGTGATATCTTTAGGACTCAAGATTTGATGATCATTGTTGTGTAATTCATGCAGAATGGTTGAAGCTTGCTTCAAATTTAAGTTGATTCTTTACACTATATGGGTTAGATCTTGTTGAAATTTCACGGGTAAAATTCATGCTAAAGCTGGCAAAGCAATAGTACTGTTTGTGCAGTGCAAGGTTTATGCATGATCAGTTACAGAATTCTAATTGCATTATAGAACCTTACTTGCATTCTATATCAGTATCAAGTGATAGATTGCCAGCATTTTTGGTGAACAATTTAAATTGTTCTAAAGAGAAATGAATTGCATAAGTCTGCTTTTGACTGAAATACCCAGCTTCAATGAAGAAGAACAAATGAACAATTTGAAGTAGTTTAACTCCAATGAAAGAAGTTCTATGCTTCTCTTGCTAGTGGGTTTCTTTAGGCATTCATAGTTCTGATTAGTTTAAGATTTACTTTTTAATGTAAATGATTTTCTTATTAAAATAAAAGTTATATTTTATAAAACCACACCTTAAATACTTTGGATCAGGCTAATCATGATGAGGATTATATAAGCATAGTTTTCTTATTCTCATTCACTGCTATAGACTTATCGCCTTAATGTTCTCGGTCCAGTTTCTCGTTCAACTTTTGCGCCTCATGCTATTTCAGCCATGCCACCAATGTTTAGACCCTGAAAATTTCCTTGAAGCTGTCTTTTCTAGAATTTAGGTTGTATGCAAACAAGCCTACTTGCACTTGGTCATTTCTTCATGTTAAAGTACGACCCTTATATCCATACCTATTTGCTGCAAGTTGGGGTCCACAATCATTAAGACTTTTTCTCTCTTTCTTTCCTCATATGCTGCTTCCTCATTGATCTGTAGGACCTCTATGACGTGCACAACAATTCATGGGCTATTGTCTGCAGACCATTATAACTACTATGTAATTATTATTACTTGATGTTGCATTATTCCTATTAGAAGCTCTCCTAAGATTATATATACTACACAAATGTTAGAATAAAGTACTCAATCAATTCTCTCTAATTCTTGTTAGTAATGATAAGTATATTATTAAATTGGTGTCATAGAAGCGTTTTAGATGAATTTTGCACACTTTAGGTTCATGTAAGGGAATTTGTTTTGTAACTCTGTGACAATTTGGTGCTTAAGATTATCTGCATTTTGGTCATTCCAACTGAGAGCCTGATCACATTTTATATTTTAATCGATTACTCATACCCATTAACTTGGTTATTGCACTTTTGATGTCTATGTAATCTTCAATATTTGCTACAATAGTTAAGTGCAAGATAATTCCCAATACAGTTGACCTATCTTGACTAATTATCAAGATGATTGCATAGGCTAATCATTTGGACCGTTATAGCATTTACATTTGAAATGCCAAGTTATACTTGGATTGTGCTCATCATTTTGTTATTTGTTTGTCTCACTTGTATGTGTATTGGCTAAACTATTCACTTCTAGATGCTGTGCTACACTTACTGAAACCTTGGACATGTAGAGATGTTTGCTTGTAGAAACTTTTTGGAGTTACTTGGATAGGTCATTATCAACTTATTGTACTTTTAATATTAAGGGAGTTTTATTGATTATTAAACTTTTATTATCTTAGTGTAATTAATAGCATATGTATCTATAATGCCTTTGGAGTATTGATTTAACGATAGAATATTATAGAAACTTAAAATGAATTTTTAATAAAATGATCTAAGTATCCTAATGTGGGCCACCCAATGAACCATTGAGAACCAAAGGTGGAATGAGGATGGTAAAATTAATGTGTGGTTAAACTAGGAAAGATAACTAATTATATTGAAGTGAGCATTGAAGTAGCTAGGCTCTTAAGATGAACTAATAAGGTGCTGGGATATATTTGATGTGAAGGAATATAAATGAAAGAATGGGCACACTGAATAATGTATAGATGTAAGGTTTGAAAGATTATTTGTGCACACAAGGGTTAATAGCACATGCAAGGTTTTATTGGGCTAAATGGAGAAGGGGTGGGGGATGAATAAGGATGTCGTCAATTGTTGAGATTTGATCAAAGGTGAAGGGGGGCAAATATGCATGACGTTAATTGTTGAGGTTTGATCAAATGTGATAATCATGATATTTGGCATGATATATATATATATATATATTTCATTTTATTTTCATTTAAATATCTAGCTCATTTAGCTGTATTAATTGAAAAGTCTTATTTATCAGCTTTCTATGATATTCTTGGACAACAAACACCTCAAAAATATAGCCTCAAAATAGACGAATTGCTATGAAGAATATGAAAGAAAGAACGAGCAGATTGAATAAAGTATAGGTGTAAGGTTTGAAAGATGATAATTGTCCAAAATGTGATAATTTTGATATTTGGCATGATTTCTATATATACTTCATTTTATTTTCATTTAGATATTTGACTCATTTAGTTGTATTAATTGAAAGTTCTTATTTATAAGACTTCTATAATATTCCCGGACAATACACACCACAACAATGTAGCCTCAACATAGACAAATTGCTATGAAGGAATAGAAAAGAACGGGCAGATTGAATAAAGTATAGGTGTAAGGTTTGAAAGATGATTTGTGCATGCAAGGGTTAATAGCACATGTAAGGTTTTATTAGACTGAATGGAGGAGAAGGGGTGGGGATGGGAGTTGAATAAGGATGTCATCAATTGTTGAGATTTGTCCAAATGTGATAATCATGATATTTGGCGTGATTTCTATATTTACCTCAATTCATTTTCATTAAATATCTAGCTGGTTTAGCTGTATTAATTGAAAAATTCTTATTTACAAGCCTCCCATAATAATCTTGGACACCACACCCCACAACACTGTAGCCTCAACATAGTAGAATTGCTTTTTATGTTTGTATGACTTCCCTTTGTTGTCATCTAGAACATGGCACCATTTGGCCCTATATGAATTATGCTTCCTCTTCAGTCTCAAACTCATAACTACCACTGCACAATCGTTCAGCCTTAGTGAGCATGATAGGTTTGTAGTTGCTACTATAATGCCGAGGATCTAAATCTCTCTGAGATTTGTTTAATTAAATTGCTTTCACTACCAACTATAAACATGCTTTAATGTAAAATAAGTTTACAGAATATCACTTCGGTCAGTCTTAGTGAGCATTATTGATTTTTTTGCTGCAGCTATGTTGTTGAGGACCTAAATCCCTCTGATTTTTTGCTTAATTAAATTACTGACACCACAAAGTTTAAACATGCACTATAGTTCAAAATGTGAAGTTTATATAGAATCTCACTTCGTTGGTTCATATGTGCATCTGTAACTTATTTTGTGTTGTAAGAGCTTACAAATATTAAGTTACCTCCTCAACAATACATATTATATCTAGATTTACATTTTATTTAAAGATATAACCAATATTATATTATCTCTTTCTTTTATACTGATACATTATTTCACTTGATTAAATTAAACCCTCAAGATCCTTTTCATTGTTTTTAGAGTTTACAGATATTATATTTGACATCTATACCATGATGTCTTATAGTTTTTGTGTAGGTTTAATTGCATTTATAAAATGTGTATGTTACATTACTGATATCAACTTTATTGTAAACGGATGGAGGTATTAATGCTCTATTCATTATCTGCAGTCAGAGTGGCTAATACTTCTGATCTGGTAAAACAGAGACCTATTACATTGTTCTTTATATTCTTATATACTTTGGGTGCTGGAGCTATTCAGTATAGATAACACGTTAATTATACTTGCTCACTAATTGATTTTATATTTACATCATTAAGTCAAGCTCATCCATCTCTTTAAATTTTGTATGTTTTGGTTTGACAGTGCATAAATTAACATTGATTTGCAATTTCCCTCTTGGCATGATCTAGGTCGATATATAAAATTTTGGTTTTGATGTTCTTGACTCCTTTATACTCCTCCAGCATGTTTTTTTCCCAACCGATACTTATAAAGCTTCTGTCTTCTGTTTTCTAGGACAAACTTCTTGAAAGCAAGAATAGGACGGAAGTTTCACTGGCAAAGAAGTTAAAAATTGATATTTTGCCAGAGGTTGACAAAATCCAGAAGGTAGTTTAAAAAATAAAAATTATATATATATATATATATATATATACATATGGGATGGTGTACTTCTTACAAAGTGAATGAGCCTTTCATGTCCTTTGCTAGTTATCGTACATGCATTTGATTTAATCCGATATATAGGTCAATGAAAAAAGCTGTTATATTGGTTAATTGTGCAGAGGAAAGATCGATTGTTGAAGAAGCAACACAGGCAAGCTCTCCTTCTTGATAGCTTTGTGATTTCTGATGGGATTTCTTCTGGAAGGTCTCTCCGGGACAGAAAACCTGTCACTTATACATTTGGTATGACAATTTTATTGCTCCATAATTTACATTAATTACTACTTTATCTTGATAATGATGATTGACTAACTATTAGGAGCTTCTTTAATTTAAAAAATCTGAACTATCTTTCAACTCATGTGAGAGTACACGCACATTCCACACATCGACATGGAAACGCACATGACACTGTGCACTCGTGCGTGCGAGCACCATGCAATATTTATGGTTTGCAATAAAATTTTAAGGGAAGTTTACTTCAGAGTTGAGATTTTATTAGAAAACTTAAAGGAGAAATTAATTGTAAGCGGCTAGTGTTTGTTCTGTTAATAAACTAGGATATTTTATGAATTTGGGTAGTTGTACTTAGGAGTGAGCTTTGCATTTCATCTTTAAGTCAACCGTAGCATTTAAGCTTTGGTTTTAAGAAATCCAAAAATGCATAACCATGATTTTAAAATTATGGCAGGTATGCACATATTGGAAAGATCTAGCATGTGTGAATAGGTTCTATCATACCTTAGCTACGGAAAAAAATAAATATCATAAACACATCGTACAAAACACCTTTTTGTTTTGTTTTTTTCAGCATTCATTGTCGTTGCCTTCTGTTTTTGGTTTCTTTGTGCGATAAGGGTTGGGGATGGGGCAGTAAGTTAGCTTTTTCCTAGTTTATCTTCGTAAGTTGACATGGCATGCCTAATCACAGTATACAGAAAATCAGGGATATGCTAAAATGCATGCTATAGATTCGGCAATTATGTCTATAATGTTTAGTAAATACCATGTTATTCTGAGTTTTGTTCATTAGCTTTAAATAGTAACAACAAAAATGGCAAAAGAAGGGTCTTCTAAGGGATTGCTTCAAGTTAGTTTTTCAAATTAACAAAATTTCCTTATGTGCAGAAGAAAGTTAGGCCTTATTACCATACTTCAACAACTTATGTATGGTAAGTTGCAGGTTAGGCTGTGAGATAGCAAATGAAGCGATATTTGCAAACTGTTTAAGTGTTGTTGTGGTTGACTCTTACATGCTAAACAAATTATTTTTTTAGGGAGAGCTCATAAATAATTTCAGAACTCCATTGTGTTCATTTCACTGGTTTATGAAGATCTAGCTAGGCTCTAGGATTGAATAAAAATTTTGTTATATCCAAGTAAATTTTCTGCCTTGGGCAAGTTTTTAACACTTTTGAGACTTTAGAGATCCATGAAGAAGTACATTAGTTTCAGTCTTTCAGATACTTTAGATCATTGTAAAGCTTGTAGTCTATTTTGTACTGTTTGTTGTGATAATAGTTATGCATTTATAAATGAACAAAAGGACTATATAAAAAAAATTTAGTAAGGGCTGCTTGCTTGGAGAAATAGGCCCTTGTGTTTAGATTCATTCATGGTTTGATGAAAGATTTATTAATAATGTTTTCTTTTAATTACGTTGTTTTTTGTTAGGGATTCAAACACTTGACCTCTTCTTAGACAGTATTGGAGAATATCACGTGGTCACTTGAATGGTGGTTGTTTTGCTGTAATCACATCACTAGTACTTTCAAATTGCAGGCTTACATTATTTTGAATTTTGTGATCAGTGTAATGTGTGCAGGCCTTTTTACGTGATTGCTCTAAAAATGACATTTATAAATGAATAGAGGGAATATAGAAAACTGTAGTAAGGGCTGCATGCTAGGAAAGATAGGTCATTGAGTTTTGATTTGTTGATGAAAGATTTACTAATATTATTTCCATGTTATAGTATTCTTTTATTTGAGATCAAATCTTGACTTCTTACTAGAAGGTAAGGGAAAATACACTCGGTCTCTTGACGGGTGTTTTTTTCTTTTTCACTTTAATGTTTAATCTCCTTTCTAGATCTTTCAAAATACATGTGTACAAGTCATACTTGTCAATGGCTAATGGCGCACCACAACGCAAAGTTTCCCGTGAAGCACACAGCGCGACTTGTCAATGCCATGGTGCATAGCACACAGCACGACTTGCGCTTTGATATTTTATTAATTTGATGTTTAATTAATTATGATATTAATATATAAACTTAAAAAATTTAATTATAATTTATAATTTGAAATTTATAACATGTTAACAAAATAGCCGTATCATTTGCATCTTGCGTCGTGCGCCATTGCACCATGTATGGCACAAATAGCACACGCTATTTTGATTCGCCTTGCCGCGCCAAACAAATAGTGCCGTATGTGTGCCGTGCGTCGCCGTGCACCATGACACACACCATTTTGCATCATTGACATGTATGGTTCAAGTTCTTTCATATAGTTTTTGGTAATGCCTCAATTCAAAATTTTAGTTGAAACCTTATCTATCATTAAATCATCTCCTTGAGATTCATCATTAACATTAACTCCTTTCCATGTGAGATTTTTTTTTTAAAAAATTGGCATTAAGGCTAGGGGAGCAATAACTATTTAGGTTGGTTCTTTGTGGGAGGAATCCTCCTGGTTTTTACCTCGTTAAAGATTGCTTTGTACTCGTATAAGTGTATCTCCGTGAAGTTTTTCATTTATTGGCCAATTAGACTTCCTTTTGGCTGGTTCTCTTACAAAGTCATTCCAAGTACTGAATAAGAATGTATTTATGTAGAATTGGAAAGGTGTTAACAGAATAAAAGTATAGATTATATTATATAAGTTATATTTGATCCTTTTTAAATGAAATTTAAGTCATTGAGATGGTGCGGTGACTGAAAGATTTATATGTGTATATAATAGTTAAAAATTATTCATATTTTCTTTTTTGCTCTCCTGAATTGGCCTATACCCATTTTGCTATCCTTCTAGATCATTTGGTGATGGTGAGCTTAGCTTGTTATTTTTTCTTGCATTTCTCCCTATCAGTGCAATGAAGAAAATCCTCAAGCCTTGACATCAAATTGAAAGTTGGTCTAAAAGTAGGGAGGCTTGATTTCCTTTGACCTTCTTGTATTAATTTCCATTGATGGTCTTACTTGTAGTCTCTCTTAGATCTCGTTGAATGATTACTCCTTCCCTATCTCCTAATCAAGGATAAGTTATGTTATGCCTAGAACAAGAAGATTTCCATGCTTGCAGTCTCTCTTAGATCTCGTTGAATGATTACTCCTTTCCTATCTCCTAATGAAGGATAAGTTATGTTATGTCAAGAACGAGAAGATTTCTATGTAATTTAGTGATGAAGTTGTGCCAACGCCTCCTTATTTGTGTTCCCAATTCTTTCATTTAGGAACAACACTTTGCTAATTTTTTTAGTCCAAAATATTGGAGAATTTGCTTTCAAATAATATATTGTCTTCCTTAGGCTAATTCTCTATTTATCAGAATTCTTTGTACTCATTCCAAACTGATGCTTTAGAGCATGGAATTGAACCAGTCACCAAACTCACTTTACAAAGCTGATTTGGCATTGAAACCGAAGGGCCATTAGGGGGGGGGGGGCAATGAACCCAATTAATTTCAAATTATGATCTGAATAAGTAGTAGCTTAGCATTAATGAACTGAATTTAGAAGAGGATATATCAGCTCACTAAAATTACAAGGCAAATAATTTTGCCCTCCCCCCCTTGCCTACATCAGATTCTTCCACGATTGAAAGTACTCATCTCCTGATGAGGATGTTTTAGTTTTTTTCGACAAGGCGAAGGAGGCTCTTCTAATTCTCGAATCTTGGTCTCATATTTCTTTAGAATGATCTCTCGTTCTTGCTTGAATTGTTCTTGCAGAAGTTTCTTTTCTTCATATATTGCTCCGTACACACATGCATCTTCATTTGAAGCTTATATAATTCATTTTGTAGTGGATATGTTAAACTTCCTTCCGACGAAATCCATCTGTGCATTGGAATTGTGATTTCAAGATCTTCTGGCTGATGTTCATCCACAATTGGTTCAATATTTGTCTTTTTCTATTTTTCTAAATACTTAAAAAGACAAACAACTTAGGAAAATCCTAACCTAGGCTCTCATACCAAATTTGATGTAAGAAAAAATTAGGAAGACCCTAATTTTGCAAGCATACTAAAAGATTTCCTAGAAAAATAAGAAATACACATTAAACAGCCAAACCACCTCCAACCAAACCAATCAGGTAAGGAGAAATGGAAGGCCAGCAATCAATCCAGAAGCAGCACCCGAAGAGCCACATAGGAAACTGGAAAAGGCAGCCAAGGGGGAAGGAACGGACGGCCAGGGGAACCGGGACGGGCAGCCAGTCAAGGAAAACCGAAGGGCCACAAGGAAGGGGAAAGAGCAAAGACACTCCACATAATGAGCTAAAAGGAGGAGAACTACCCATCATAATGAGCTGAGAAACAACTGCTCAAACATTAATGAGCTGACACAGTAGCTCAAAAACTGATGTAGGCACGGGGGGAGGGGGGGGGGGGGTTCAAGTCAAACCCAAAAAAAAATTGGTTTTGACTTCCCTTGAGCTTACTAGCTCAATAAATTTTGAACTGGAATTTAGCTCATTATGATCTGGTTTTTAGTTTATTTATTGAACTAAAGGTTAGCTCATTATTAACTAGGTTTTTGTTCATTTATTATCTTATTTATGTAGTTTTTATTTATAGTTTTATCTCTTAAATTTTGAGTTTGTCCCTTGGGATTCCAAAATGGCTTTTGGATTTCCGTGCCTTGGCTCCTTGGTGTCCACGGTTGGCTGTTTTCCGTGCTTGGCTCCTTGGCTTCCTCGGTTGGTTGCTGGGTGGCCTTTCCCGTGCTTCGGTGCCTCGGTTCCGTGCGGGATTCTTGGGTTCCGTAGCTGCCTCTTCGGGTCCTTGGCTGGGCTGTTTCCCGTGAGGTTGGGGGGGCTTTTCCGTGGTTTGTGATGCTTGGATTCTGATCCTAGACCCTTGCGGGTCTACAGGAGGCGAAGGGGGGGGTCATCCGGTCCGGGTAAGCCTTTTGTTCTTCCTCTCATTCTTTTTGTTTTGTGTTAACTTTGATTTGGTGGAGAAATTTCATCCTTGAAGGAAAATTAGGGCAAACCCTAATTTGTGAAACCTAAGGCGT